GCCGCATGGTTTGAGGGATATCGTTCTACCATTGACATATGTCATTAATGGTACATAAATGCGAAATGAAACTACTACTACTACTACGAGGAAAATTATTGTTAGATAATCAATTTTTATTTCACAGTAAAGCTTTTTTACAAAAATAGCATGATTCTTGAGAAGATGGCGGTCCATCCCAGTGAGTATTTAATGACAAAAACAAGATTGAATTTTCATATACAGGGCGTTTGAGTTGATTGATAATTGAAAAAAAATATATATACAGGGCGGCCCATGGGGGTGAAAGAATACGTGAGAAGATGGCGGTCCATCCCAGTGTGTAGTCCAATCGGGACGATTATAATGAACGAAGCATGGCAGTTTGATTTGTAGGTTAAAGTTGCTGCGATATTCTTGAGGAAGTTTGTGCCATATCATTAATAGGTCACAGGGATCTGCATGTTCAATGATACACTCTACTGGAATATAGTGCAATTCTTGTTCGATGAATTTTAGCAGAGTGGTAGCAGGAGATTTCAGGAACTCTAAGAGCACAGCTATTTCAGATTTATAACAGAGTGTCTCAATACTGGAGAGTGGATTGCTTTCAATATCAATAGAACGTGGGAAAGTTTTAAAGAGCGAAAATTTCGCTATAATCGACACCAAACATTGTGTGTGAGAAATGTGGGAAATTCTTGAATAAAACTAACCTATACCACCATATGAGGAATGCCCATAGAGTGGACGCCACCAATTCGAATAACCTAGCTGATTAGCGGATGGCAGTTAATGGATTCAGAAGTCTTCAGATCACACTTATAGAAGTATTCAGAGGTATTCGGAGGTCTCCAGATCACGCCTTCAGATATCTTCAGATGTCTTCAGAGGTATTCAGAGGTCTTCACATCACGCCTTCAGAGGTATTTAGATGTCTTCAGAGGTATTCAGATGTCTTCAGAGGTATTCAAGAGTCTTCAGTTGTATATCAGACACCATAGCGTTCACATCATGGAGTCTAAGCCACATTCATCAGAGCAAGCATTAGATAAATATCACTGTGCAGATTATGATAATGCTTATGGACCGAAATATCTTGACGGCAGATGGACACTTGGACATAAGAATCTACGCTTTGAGGACCAATACATAGGCGTAGATAATGTCGATTTTAAAAGTACTCTGGGTCTTTTGGAATTATTATTTTCCAAGAACCCTCGAAATTACACGCCTCTGGATCACCAGATGTATAAACAGATGCTAGAAATCAGCTCTATTCATAGAGATCGATTAGGGCGATTACGAGGACAAGCTGATAAGGAGAAATTTGATAAAATTATCAGACCCCTCTTCAAAAATAAGACCAAGCCTAAACGTCCAAAGTCGAGCGTGGAGCCTGAAGCCAGTATTGGGAATGAAGAGTACAATATTTTAGATGAATGAACAGATCCGAATATCTTGGTGGATAGACTGAGATATTTAATAGAATCAGATAAGAACAACAACGAGATCGCCTTTATTCTTACTGAACTTGAAAATGTTGGTATAATATCTAAGAAATAAATGATGTCAAAATTATCCGTTTTTTATTCAACACCTGCTAGGCGAGTACACTCACAATGACTACTCAACTTGGCATACAGAAATATATATTTAAAAACCCTGTATAATGACTGGTAGGTAGTGTGATGAAATCATAAACTTGGTTGACTTGCTGACTGTCTTTGGTCGACTGACATTTTTACGATGATAATCACTCTAAGAGTCACAAAAATGAAAAACGAGGTAGCGACATTTCTTGCTGACCCGCCCTGTATAGCAGAAATATTTTTTAGTGTGGGATATTGAATATTAGGTCTAGGACGAAAAACAGCTCTTGTTTCAGCTTGAACAGCTGTTTTTTGTGTGATTTCGATAGTTCCTTGTATCTCATATGGAACGATAAGAGAATCAATAATAATAGGATTATTTCCTTTATTATCCGTTAATTTCAGTCTATAACTCAGCTGATTTAATCATCTTTCTAGGCTTTGAAAGAATATGATTTTCTGTATACGCCAAATATAGAACAACCAAGATAACGGCATCCTGTTTGAACGCTCCAACTTGAACAGCTGTTTGATTTCGGTAGTTCGTTGATTTCGTGAAAAGACGATAAGAGAGCCCGTGTATGTCTTTTATACTAACTCGTTAATTGTTGTCTATAGCTCATCTATTGTAAGAGTATCAGATTTTGAAATATTCGGCGGATTCAGTGGCAGATAAAATGCATAACAATGCTTGAATATAATATGCACACATGAAGACTATTTTTCATATACCTAAGCCTCTCAATGTATAGGGTGAATCAGTCAGTATAGTCGGACAGTGGACTGAGTTTTACAAAAGAATCATATTATGTGATGCATGAAAGAAATGCTCAATAGATCATATTATCAATAAGCCAAAAAGAAACAACAAGTTGTGTTCTTCTTTGCCAGTAGTCGGACACTTGTCTTTTATCGTGCAGAGTGAATGAAAGCACTCAAGTATGCTGCATAAGTTAAATCATACGAGCACTCTGTGTGAGTTATATACTACGCGTTTTCTATGACTACAGCAAAACTTTTCAGCTTGCTGATTTTCTCACAACTAATAGTCTGTCATTTCATGAAATTTGATATTGGAACATGGTGTATGTTTATGTGACAATTTTTGTAGAAAAATCAATTTATATCATACTCAACTATAGAATACATTGGGCTGATAATTGAATAGGGTGTTCTCCTAGGAAAAAACACCTAAAATTCAATCAAAACTGTATTCGTACTTATCCCATACCAAAGCCGGCTAATTTCATCGATAACAAATTGGAATGATTATACTAAATATTCCTCAATAAGATTACCAAAGAACCTGCTTAACTTCATGAATCATGTAATAAACGACAAAATTTAAATATATCTCTTCAGCATATTCATTGCTGAATTTATTTGTTATACCAGCCGATAGATGGCGGTACAACTACGTTGCTAACAGTTACTAACAGCCGTCGGCCGAGCGCCAACAAATAAATATGAGCCTCAAACAACTGTTATCATCTTCCATTGGTTATTGAACTGCACCGAACTTATATATTTTCGGATTCGAATTTTTACCTTATATCTGCAAATAGGTCGGTCATTCTCAGGATTTCAGAATGAAAATAATTCATACCGTGTCATCCATCACTGTCATCAAATAAAAAACATCCTAAAAGTTTCTTCAAGATGTTCCATATCAAGTACCCTGAATGTCTCTGGTACATACCGTATCATCCCACAAACATTCTGATGGGATGTTTATAAGACATCGCAAATGCTGACAAGAATGTCCCAAGGAAAATAGGGATTTTCCAGAGTTGTTCCTATCATCCCATATGGATGGTTCTACGACGTCTTACGGATGTCATCGTGTTATTAGGGCATGCGCATGGTGAGCGATGCCACACTCACTAATTCTTAGAAAACATCTGAACAAAACGACTAAGTTCATCATAGGAAGTGTTTCCAAGATCTCCAAATGCGAAATCTCTGAAATTTTCTGTGTATCATTGGGATGGGTAGTGAGTGTAAGAGAGAGTGAGAAGGTAAAAAAGTGAGAAGAAGAGAGAGAGAGAGAGAGATTGGATGGATATTAGTTGAAGGTATGGATGTAAAAAACAGTTGTATCATGTCTTCTGACGAATACAGACGTGCACTAGAAGAATTTGGGTTGAAAGTTAGAAAGCTCAGTGCAGACATCCAATTGTATGAGCAGAAAGTTTGTTTGTTCAAAGATTTCGAGCAATTGAGTGTTTGGGACAAGGTGTTCACAGAACCAAGACGTTCAGTTGCAACGTTTCCTACATCGAGAAGAATCCAACCAACACAGCTACTAGATGGCGATACTGAAAGCAAGCTTCATTCTATTGACAGCTCTGAGCAACAACGTCTTTTACACAAACATACCATTCAATACGAGGAATGCAGCCGTATGTTTTGATGTGAATCGTACACAACAGTGTGATTGGAAGCTGATGAGTAGAATGTATGTCAACGATAACAAACTACCTGTATATTCAATCGACATACCTCGAGTCAATGGGACCACCATCGACTACAAATTGAAATTATCGTTTTCTGATGGCAGTGACGGCGAAATGGGAGACTGGCAGACATTTACATTGAAGAAATCACCCACAAAATTAGATGATGATCAAGATTCTGTCAATATCATTGCAATTTTGACACTTTGTTGTACACTAATATGTTCACTCATTTTAATCTCACATGTTATTTTCATTATACTGAGAAATAAGGGATGTAATGAATAAAAACTCTGAAATTATTATAAAGTTTTTTATTTTGGCAATAAATTACATAACCAATTATATAAAGTATCGACATTGTGGAGACTGCACTGGAACCTTCCTCCATGGAAATGATTCATGCAAGGTGGAATGGATTGTTGAAACGTTATTGGCTGCCACCAAGAATTGTCAAAATCTTCCAAATTAACAATGTGATTGGTCATCTCCAACTCTGCACATTTTCGCTGCAAGAACTGAATCTTTTGATGGCCTCTTACGTAGATGATGTTTGTCTGCTGCAGGTTATCTCGTAGTATTTGATCCAACTCATTCAAATCCACATAACCACTGGAATATTTTAAACCATGAACGTAACGCTCCACATGATTTGCCATCTTTTTATCTTCTTTGTTCAAACTGGAAAACTCTACAGATGGCTTGAATAGAAAATGACTCGTCTTTTTGCCAATGCGAATGGTCATTTCCTTTGGAATGAATTCACCATCAACCATGAACCCTTGAATGTCAACCAGTGCGATCTCCATGACTCTTCGAAGCAAACTGACGTCTGACTGATGCAGCAACACCTAACTAGGCAATATTTCGAACGATTTCGCTGAGTGGGAGATGTTCCATGATTTGATCGTGAATGATGATGCAATAGGCTTTGGTGTCGGGAGGGAAGCCTGTAGTCGCTTCAATGTCCAACTTTATGTCAACTGTGGACGACTTTAGACCCAGATGGCGCCTCGAGCAATCGATAACAAACATTGGTCGGGATTTGAATTCGGCAAAGTTTACTAGAGAGCGCTTTTCTTGACAGTTATGGTAGCTCTTGTTGAACTCTGTATAGTTGAAGTAGGCGTCGGCATATTGGTCTTTGGAAAAGTCCAATAGCATTCGTTCTTGCGGATAATAGTCGCTATTCAGAGCCAATCGTATGGATTTGATGTTGGCATTATCGAACAAGGTGACGTCTTCATGCAAATTATCGGCTTTTTTCGTTTGGAAAAATACTATAACATATCTTGGACTGTCCAATGCAGAACATGTCTTTACGGACCAGATTTCTATGGTAGATCCTTGTGTGAGTGCTGGTAGCTCGTGCAATTCCCATCTGCGAAACGGTATCATCATAGGCTCATCTGCTTTGATACGTGTCAACAACTGCAACTTTATGTCATCGTTGGGTGTGAGATGTGGCACTTTCAAATTAATGCTTTCTATCGTTATTTTAGCAATACTTTGAGTCTGAGGAGATCCTGGCAAAGCAGTATTCGCTCTCTCGACAACCTTCACACTGTTGGCATCATTGCGAGCTCTCACTAAACGGATTGACTGCTTGCCCCACGTTGCCACTTGATGATCATTGAAGATGGAAAACAAATGTTTCAGTGGAATGTTCATGCTAAACGTACCATCGGTGTTGAGGATCGGAGCATTGGGATAGTTCCAGCCTGCTATGGCTAGATGACGTGAGTCTTCAGGCGTATAACATAAGTATCCTCGCACAGTACTCGTTATTCCAGGATATCTGACAGTGTCCAATTCTTTATTACACAATTCATAGGTGCAGGAATCAAAGAGATAAGCTCCAGCATTGTGGGTTAATGTACCAGTACCACCACCGGTCACCTTCAATTTACCCTTGATGGTAATGATGCCTTCAAACATGGCCAACCACGAATCTGCTTGATTAACCATTATATCGATGACATCATTGTTCTCGAATGATTTCACATATGGATAATAGGTACGCCATTCCACTTTAGTGATGCTTTCGTCGAGTCTGGGTTTGCGGAAAACGTCGAACACGGGTGCTAACAACATTGTAGTCTTTGAATGATTTCAGAAACAGGACACTGGATAATGTCAATGTTTTTCTGTTGCTGCTGTTGCTGCTCTTCGAAGACACGACTGCTTTGGTGTACGGTGTCGAGATAACTGGTGCTGATGATGTTGCTGATGATGGTATATTATCTGATTTATAGGAGTAATCAAGCACTAGTACCATCTTGCGAGTTTCTTCAATTCCAATCTTATGATGATTTGTTCACCTCTAAAATTCACCTGCCTGAAATCTTGGTCTAGAATCTGGAGTGTAATGTTGGGCAATTCCCGCCTGCTGACTATAGGTAGATAGATTAGATTTCTGGGAGTTTCGTCTATGGCGTAACCAGGATCGACTGCAACTGCAAACTCGTAGATCGTATGTGATGGTCTGTCGTTGTAGAGAGCTCCAGCAGTAACGTTGCTATCAATGTGAATGGTTCTCACTTTGGTTATGCTGACCGGCAAATCGGAAGTGTGGACTTGTTGTGCGTTCAACAATCTATTTGAAAATCCCAAGACTTGAGCTATGCTATCCTTCGGACGAAAATCAATGGCAAACTGTTTGCTCGAAATCTCACACTTTAGTGTATTATTGTTGGGCTTCAACGAGAATATATCATCAACGTCCTTTGCACTTGAGATGCCCAATTCTTTGCGTATGAATGTCTCAATGTCCACAATGTCGTATGAACCTTCGGGAATATCGATGATCTTTCCCGCCTTGGTCTTATCTTGCAGATAAAACTTTGATCCTTTGTCGATATTTGGTATACTGTTGTATGAATGGAATCCCAATAATGCTAGTCCGTAATCAGAGTCTGGATCGAGTTGAAGCGGTGTCAAAAAGTCTATGGAGAGCGTAGATGTACGACCTTTCAACGTCACAATCAGAGACATGACTGATGCACAATGACCGAGTTACTTGGTCTCATTAAAAAGGAATTCTAAACATAGACGTCCACAATTACTTTGATTGAAATTTTGGTATTGATTGTTATTGTACAAGATTTTCGTGCTGGCACCCAAATATTGCGCCAATTCTCTGGGCGGTTTCAGATTGCCATAACTATCGAAATATAAGGCTTTTTTATCATTTTTTATGTAAGCCACCCAATGAGTGCCCGCATGATTGGAGGTATCCAAATTCAATACAGCACACTCGCGATGCCATGGACCGGTGGAAGGTGAAGTGTCCCGCATAAAAACACCTCGAAAATATGGTATTTTCAGCTGTTTGGCATACTTTATCACATCTTTATCGTACATTGATTTATTGGGTAGCTTGTCTAGAAGTTTTTTGAGTTTTTTGATTGTTTCTTCAAGTACAGTCCGAATCCTCTCGATGTTTTGCGTAGAAATAGGCCGGAACCCTGCTTGCCGATAGCCTCCATTGCTTTATTATGTCTTTGATCTTCTTCGAGCTTTTTCTTTGCATTTTTCGCATCAATGACTGTCTTTGCGACTGCTCCGGCTCCTCCAGCTAGAGATCCTAGGGCTCCCAAGGCGGCAAAGATTGGTATCAATGGTAGTATACCGCCACTGTGTGGAAGAGGTATGATTCTTGGTACTCTGATTCTTTTTTTACCGCCAGCCCTCTTGATTGCCATTCTGGCTGCATGGAGTGCTTTCAATGCAGATTTATTCAGACCACTTCCTGATGTTGTACTACCACCACCACCACCACCACCATCTGACTTTGATAGTACATTTTTTATGAATTTGATAATGTTGGATAGGGATTGCTGTGATACAAGACCCATGCCGAGTTTTCGTTTGACCTTCATTCCGGTGGTGACAAGCCAAGCAGCAGCCTTCTCTTTGAATTTAGCGTTCTTCGACTTGACTCTCTCCCACGCTCTATTTTCCAATATCCAATCAGCTTTGTGCCTGTCTTCTATTGAGGAATTTTGTGAATAGGCGATATCGTGTACTCGACACGCGTCGTCCAACGGATTGATACCGGTGTCTCCTCTTGCAAGTCTTTTATCGAGTTTGGTACCTGGACCACAAAATCTGTAGCCTGGAATGTGTAATTCGATGGGAAGTTTATCGATCAGAGAATTAAGCACACCCTCTCCGTGGTAGAGCAACATGAAGACTGACGTGTAGGAAGTTCGACAACTCTGCATATACCTAATGAAATGAAAAATATATCATCACATGATGAAGATCATTCAACAAGAACGGATGTTACCCATTGTGAATTTGGATGGAATTTTGTCAACCAAACCCCCAGTAAATAGTAAACATGGGAAACTGCTTCCCCATTCGTTCAGAGCAATCTTCTGCGGACCAAGCGGATGTGGAAAGACCAATGCGATGCTTTCCCTGCTGTTCAATCCAAATGGCGCGAAATTCAAGAACGTTTACGTGTATTCAAAGTCGTTGTACCAACCGAAATATCAATTGCTGCAACAAGTGTTGGATTCAGTGAAAGGTGTTGGGTATTTTCCCTTTAAAGAAAATGATGATGTCATCAGTCCATCAGAAGCGAAAAATAATTCGATATTCATTTTTGATGATGTATCATGCGACAAGCAGCAAAAAATTCGAGAATATTTTTCAATGTGTAGACACAAGGATATTGACGTAGCATACCTATGCCAGACTTTTTCTAAGATACCGAAGCAGCTGGTGCGAGACAACAGTAACCTGTTGGTGTTATTTCGACAGGATGAAATGAATTTGAAGCATGTGTTCGACGAGCATGTCTCACCAGACATGTCATTCGATCAATTTAAAGCATTGTGCTCAGAGTGTTGGAATTCCAACCAATATGGTGCGATGGTGATTGCAAAAACTTTCGATATAAATGCTGGTAGATATAGAAATGGTTTCGATAAGTTCATAAGACTGTAATCTCTGGACCATTCATCAAGATGACGTCAACCAAGATGCATGATGATGTTGCTGATGCGCTGCGCAAGAAAAAAATCAACGAACTATCGAAATCAATCAGAAGAAAATATTTAGCACTAAAATTGGGCAAGTCTGAGGATGATGATGCGTTACAGAAAATATTCCAACCACTGACATCACCTTTGAAACAAATTGCCACCACGTCCAAGGTAATAAAAGAAAAACTCGATGGAACGCTTTCAAACATCAAGCGAAGCAGAGCAAAATCGTTGGGGTTGGAGAAGGAGAAGAAGAAGGAGAAGAAGGAGGAAGAGGATGGGGAGGTGGAGAGGGGGCAATCGGATTTGAATCAAACTAATTTCATACCTATGATGGATGTGGCTGATAATGCTGGGCATACTGAAGATGATGATGAGGATGGTTATGACGATGCTGATGATGAACTTTTTGTAGATAGTGAAAATATCTCACCGGCTGCAATACATGATTACGTTGATCAGTATCCTGCGGTGGCTCAAAAATATCTGACTGAATACTGGACAAATGATGAAAATATCGATACGGCTTATGGTCCCAAATATGATCCAGTAACATCGAAATGGTCTCTCAACGGAAAAGAAATGAATTTCCATCGAAGAACTGGAGATATACTTCTTGATGGCTTTCGGTTCCGTCGCACCCCAGGCCTCTATCAATTACTCTTCTATAATGATCCATCCTTTGCCAAAGATGATACGAACCCATACAAGCAAATACTCTTGCTCACCAAAGCTCATCTGAATTCTGCAGGACGTATGAAGTCTTCCTCTAGACTCAAATACGTAGAAATTATTCGTCCAATGTTCAGATCCAATTCCAGTGGTCGTGGTTTGAAGTTGACATACAACACAGCACCTATCGAATACATGTATTGGGATGATCCAAACGAATTGGTAGATAGATTGAAGTTGCTCATTGCATCACAGCAAGCCGGAAATACATCAAACGATAACGAGATTGTTGCCATCTTGAACGAATTAGAAGAGGCAGGCATAATAAAACATGTGTGACATTTCTGTGATACTTCCGTGACACTTCCATGACAACTTCCGTGACAGTTCCTTGACACTTCCGTGACACTTCCTTGACACTTCCGTGGCAGTTCCGTGACACTTCCTTGACACTTTCGTGAACTTCCGTTACACTTCCTTGACACTTCTGTGACAGTTCCGTGACACGTCCATGGCATGTCTATGAGTGAAGGGGCTAATAATTGGCGAGGCAAAGTGCCGACCATTATCGATAACGTACAATACTTTAGTCATTAGCATAATGAGTCTCGACAAATTCGGACGTGGTTCGTTTCCACGCTCAGCTCAGATGGTGACAGTCAGATCTGGATTTTCACATACTCCAACCGGTGATATTGATGTTGGTCATTTGAAGATGTGTAACGTAAAACTACCAACAGATGCCGCTGATGTTGCAAACAAACAATATGTGGATGAAGTTATATCGCAAATAAAGTTAGATTTCAAGATTGCTTTCGATAATTACGGTGAAAAAATCCGAAATTACCTTGCTGGCTTCAGCAGCGAAATAATCGAAGAAAGGAAGAGAGTGGATGTA